GGAAGGGAGGGAGGTAGGAGGAAAAGAAAAGAGGGCGGGGGAGAGAGAGAGAGAGAGAGAGAGAGAGAGAGAGAGAGACACACACACACACACACCATTTGGTTGCCTCCCACACTCACCCCAACTGGGGAACCTGCAACCCAGGTACGTGCCCTTTCAAACCAAAATCTTAGGTTCTTGAGCTAACTCTTCCACCTCAACTTTGTGACTGTTTGGGCTAAGCAACAGTTAACTCTTTCTTTGGGGGGGGGGGGGGGCGGCGGGCAGTGCTTGGCCAAGAAGAATTAACAACAGTGAATTATGAGAGACAGATGAAGGGCCTCTCTTCCTCTGTGTTGTTGACAGTGAGAGTGTCCCATTTCCCCCCAAAAGGCAAATCGCACAAATATTTGACAGAACATACCTGGTCTCTTCGATAATTTTAGGCTTATTATCTTGGGAGCTTTCTGGAGGTGCGTTTTCATTAGCAATGTGTCTTTGTGCATCAGAGAGAAAGACTAATTTTGGCTTACCCACTTGTGGGTAATAAACAGGAACTATGTGATGCATTGCTTCAAAGGTACCTGCATACAAAGAATTAAAAGCACTCTGCTTTGAAACTAATAATTAGTTTCAAATTAGCATTAGACTATCTAAAATTATGTCCTATGAAATGGAATTAAGTAAAGTTAAATAGAACCATGGTAAAACCAATAGAAAGTTAATATCCATGATAAAATATCATAGACTTTCATACATAAAAACCTACACAGGAAAATTTATAGTCAGCGCTCATAGACAAAATGGGTACACCAACATTATTTATAACCTGCCCTTGTATTTTGCTTTTCTGAGCTCATTTTTTTATAGTGTTTACTTTAGGTAGTAGATTAGTCACGTATAGTTTTTGGAATATGTTCATGCCTTTATTTTGGCACTTAACATTCCATATCGTTACAGGTTCTTCTCCCTTTCTAGCAGTGATTTCTCTGTAAGTGAGGTCTGCCTTAATCAGTTTTAATTCCCGGGGGCTAGCATAGTCTGGGATATACCCAAGGTACTCAGTAAACATTTATTAAATGAATAAATTAATGTTTCCATCTAATCACTACAAAAATAAATACTAAAAGATATGCATATATTTTGGATTTTGTTAAAGTGATTTTGTTTTCAATTTTGAGTTATATAGTTATGTGATTATATTTAGGACAAGATTTTTATTGTAAAATCTTTGAAGTTTGAGGTCATAGTCCTTATAACCTTAGCATACATCTCTAATATGGAACTCCAAATTTACAAGGCTATCAAAAGTATGTAAAAGGTCAGGGAGTACAAAAATTACTCTCTAAGAATTTCTGTTCATTTATGATGCACTTGGTTATACTGAGTTGTCTTTAAAAGGTTAATTTTTAGCTCTTCTGAACATCTGAAAGTATATTGTAGATTTTAAAATGTATCTTCTAGACTTTAATTCCTGCTTTCTGTTTCTCTGGAGCAGTAATAACAGTCTTTGCATAAAGACTATAGCGTTAACTATTGGCCACATACCTAAGGATAGAGCTATATACATGTATTGAGTGATGTCACTGTTTTTAAGTTTGAGAAGCTCAGAACTGTATCATCATTTGGATAGAGATGGCAATGGAGGAAGGGGCTCATTCCAATGTGTGTACTACAGAATCTGGGAAGAGTGAATTCTAGGATGCTTCCCAAGATGATAAAGATAATTGTTACCCATTACACTTAGCTACATTTAGTTTCATTACTTAGGCAAGGGAGGTTGGCATGTCCTCTGTAAAACAACCTTAGGCATATTATAATCAAAATATGCAAGTGTTGGGATGTGTACATACGAAAGGAGACATGCCACAGAGTATAGGCCACAGAAGTGGTTGTGATGCATTTTTATTTTCTATCCTGATGAAAAATGTAATTTTTGCACTGTTGCTAAACGAATATACTAGTACTAGTGACTTAGGTTTCACACTTTACTAGCTGGTGCTGTTTCACCATTTACATAACTAATACTGTGCACTTTGGCCAGATAGAAAAGTACACATTTTCCCCCACCCTTATGGCTCTGTTTACATAGTAGGAACGAAACACAGGTTTAGCTGATAGCGGCTATCATATTCAGATATAAACATTACAGGTTAAATTTCCTAGGAATCCTATATAATAAAAGGCTAATATGCAAATTGACTTAAAGGTGGAATGACCGGTCACTGTGATGCACATTGACCATCAGGGGGCAGATGCTCAATGCAGGAGCTGCCCCCTGGTGGTCACTGCGCACTCACAGGGGGAGCACCCCTCAGCCAGAAGCTGGACTCATGGCTGGCGAACACAGTGGCAGTCGCGGGAGCCTCTCCCACCTCCGCAGCAGCACTAAGGATGTCCGACTGATAGGGGGGGGAGCGGGCCTAAGCCATCAGTCGGACATCCCCTGAGGGCTCCTGTACTGCGAGAGGGCACAGGCCAGGCTGAGGGACGCCCCCCCCCCCACGAGTGCACGAATTTCGTGCACCAGGTCTCTAGTTGTAAATAAGTTAAAAAATCAAAAACTTTAAACAAAATCTAAACAAAACTTGCTCATTTCATGGCACATTTTTTGTTGAGGAGAATATTCCCTTTGCTAGTAGAAGTGGTCAACTAATGAATGGCAGTCTACTTACTTATATAAGAGATACTGTCATCCTCCTTTTTACTGTTCCTTTTCTTGCTGATTTTCTTGGCATCTTTGGATGCTTTCCAATTTATTAGAAATTGTCTTTCCATGTTTTTAATTTCTTTTCCATCAAGACAGTCTAGATAAAAATATATATGTTAAAATACAATATAGATATGTCACTATATATGTAAGATATATATATTTCTTGTTCAGGGGCACACAAACTTGTTACTCTATATGCTGAAATAAATTTCTTTTTAAAATACTTATTTACACAATCTGTATTTTTGTCTAGATTTTATTTATTTTTAATTTCAACAAGAATATGTGCTTATTAAAAGTAACTGAAACATGATGGGGGAAAAACATAAAAACATGGATGTAATTACTATCCATACCTCTCCTTCCCATTAGTGACAAAGATAATCATTGTAAACAGAATTTGATGTATGGTCACCCTTCTAAGATCATATTTAAATTATATTATTATTTTAAAAAGCAAAAATGTCATACCTAACAAAAATTAAATATCATAATTATTTAAATAATATTATGGCTATTCTTAGGAAAAAGCAAAATATTTTTATCTTAAAGTGACTAAGAGGATTTATATATGTAACACAGTATTTTAAAAGCACGTACATTAATAATGCTTATCATATCCTAGGACATAGGCTATATAATAGGAACAACCCACATAGCTGTGCTCTTGGTTCTCTGAAGAGAGATTTTAGTTATCTTTACATTTTGTTCCTTTAAAAATTTTTTTGCAAATTAAGCATCTTTTTTTTTTTTAAATATATTTTATTGGTTTTTTACAGAGAGGAAGGGAGAGGGATAGAGAGTTAGAAACATCGACGAGAGAGAAACATCGATCAGCTGCCTCCTGCACACCCCCTACTGGGGATGTGCCCGCAACCAAGGTACATGCCCTTGACCGGAATCGAACCCGGGACCCTTCAGTCCGCAGGCCGACGCTCTATCCACTGAGCCAAACCGGTTCGGCGCAAATTAAGCATCTTAAATTAGATGAATAATTTTTGTATATTGTAAGACATTTGGAAAATACAAAAAAATTAACATTGCCTGTATTTCACCAGAAATAATGACTAAAAATCACTGATAACAATTTATTTTTTAATATTTTTTATTGATTTCAGAGAGGAAAGGAGAGGGAGAGAGATAGAAACATCAATGATGAGAGAAAATCATTGATCGGCTGCCTCCTGCACACCCCCTAATGGGGATCAAGCCCGCAACCTGGGCATGTACCCTTGGCCAGAATCGAATCTGGGACCCTTCAGTCCGCAGGCTGATGCTCTATCCACTGAGCCAAACCAGCTAGGGCTGATAACACTAGTATATTTCTTAGCAATTTTTTGTTTTCTATGTATGTACATATATATGTATTATATAAAATTGGAATTCTTTATACAGCATTACAGCATACTTTTAAATATTGTATCATGAGCATCTTACTGTGTTTTTCTTTTTTTAAAAAATATATTTTATTGAATTTTTTACAGAGAGGAAGAGAGAGGGATAGAGAGTTAGAAGCATTGATGAGAGAGAAACCATTGATCAGCTGCCTCCTGCACACCTCCTACTGGGGATGTGCCCGCAACCAAGGTACATGCCCTTGACTGGAATCGAACCTGGGACCCTTCAGTCTGCAGGCTGACTGATGCTCTATCCACTGAGCCAAACTGGTTAGGGCTGTGTTTTTCTTTAAACTTAATTTTTAATAATTTTTGATAGTATTCTATTGTATATGATATATTGTACTATAAAATTATAGGATATTTTATGTGACTTTAATCACATGAATATAGGTGGCCTTTAATTAACATTAAGATAAAATGTTATCTTTTCTAGCAAAATTTCCTTATATAGCAGTTTAAAAAATTAAATATATTTTCTCTCATCATCCATGTAATGTCTTCTGCTAGATTCCAGAATGTAGAAACATTTTTTGGGTCATATTCTTATAAGGGAAAATGATAATATCCTGATAAAATATTAATTGTACTACTGAAAATATTAACATTGTCACTTAAATATGATCTATAATATTGTTATATTCCAAATCAAGTGATGAAACTGGAAATATTAACTAGAACCATAAACTCTAGAAGTATAATTGTTTCCATAGCTTGTCTCTTGTACTTATTTAAACTGAATAATAGCACTTTCCAAATTATAATGTAAGAAATTGGCAAAATATTTTATCATTATACATCTTTTTTTTTTTCAAGATTCCTTGGATAATGCTGTAAAACTTTATTGAGAGAACTTTAACAGTGAAGTATACAGCATAAGAATAGTCTGTGTGTCTTCAGATCATCTTCCTTTAAATGGCTGGTTTTCCTTCCCCTGTTTCTGGCATTTCAATGGGCTCTGGATTTGCGCAAGCATGCCCGATGACTTCAGGATCATCTCCACCCTCAGCCCCAGTCATTGGTTTCGCCAGTTCTTGAAGATCAGCTTCAAGGTCAGTCCCTTGAACCTCAGGTGCTCCTGCATCTGCTTTCTCTTCATCAGGTGTAATATCCTGACTCTCAGTGGGTGGCTCCTCTTGTTGAGGTTGTTCATCCCTGGGCTGCTGGTCAACCTCGGCTCCAACTGGCTGGTCTGATTCTTCATCTTCTACTAGTATTGAACTCCAATCGAGCCTTGGTGTTATATGCCGACTCATATTTCACACAGTTGTGTCTCAGGTAGTGAGAAAGAATCGAAATGAAGGAACACGGCGGCCTTTCGCCAGCTCTTCTCCTGGAACTCGGACTGCAAAGCACCTATCATTATACATCTTAGTACTTATAACTTATTATTAAAGGTCATTCTTTTACACTCAGTTTTCCCAACCACTTATACTGGTATATATTGATATCTTTGCCAGACATGTTTTTATTAATTGTATAATTTATTAGTATATTTTTGGATGTGTTATGTGTAAGTCAGTACATATTTTTAAAACATCTATTATGAGGATAAGGAATGAAAAACCTAAATCTTTTACCATAACCCACTTCCTTATGTTAATGTTTCAGACAAAGCTGAAGAATGACTAGCTTATGCCTCAGTAAATCTGATTCTATCTCACTTTTAGCAAATGATCTCATTTGAGGTTATTAGGTGTAGAGGTGGTTCAGAAGGGGAAGCCAGGAAATGGATACAAGATCAGAGACCCATGAGATCTGTTTTAATGAGCTGCTTCCATCATACTAAGTAAACAAGTATCTATTTGATAAGGCCAGGTTACTTACAAAACAGAAAATGGCTCCATATAGTTCTTTTTACTGGGACATATAAAATCAGGCCTTCAATTAACTTTGTGGGTTGTTTTTTTTTTGGTTTTGTATTTAGGAAAAACAAGGAAATTAAATGAGCTAAATCAAAGATAATTTGTTATATATGTATATATACATAGAAGAAAAAGACTGTAAAGACACATACCAAAGTCTAAATAGATTTTGCAGGATTATGAATAATATTTATTTTCTATATTTTCTAGAAGAAATATGTATTAAATTTTATAATCATAAAATATGTTATAGAAGATTTATTTTTTTTAACTTTGAATAAATTCTCTTTACTTGGAAATTAGTACACTTGTCTCCATATCTGTTACAGCATTGCCTATGGTACTGTATCATGAGATATGTTTCCAGAAATGATTCATAAACATTGGAAGATTCTTAATTATCAAACATTAATTGTATTTACTTTATTACTCTGCTTCCTGAGGAAAATAGACTAATACAATTGTGTGCACTGGGGAGAGAGAGGAGGAGATAGACAGTTGGGGGTGGTGCATGGCAGAATCATCTATAGAGCTTTGAAAATTACACATGACTGTTCTCTGTTCCCTACCCTTGGCTGGTGGGGTAAGGGATGGGCAGAATATTGTGAAAAACCTTCTTGGATATTTCTGACATGCCCTTGTGTCAGTCCCTTCCTCCCCCAAGAGAATCACTGCACTAGCATTATGATTAATCAAGGTTTACTACAGCTATGAGCTTTGAAAGAGTTTTGCCATAGTTTTTATACCCATGTCACTGAAATTCCGATATAGGAAATTGGCTCATGAATCTCCTTTGGGAGAGGCCAGGCTTGTCTCTCCGGTGCTATATAACTTGGTCCCTCACTGGTCCATGTCCCCGATATAGTGCATATTGAGGAATGTTATGATTGTAAGGGTCTCATAAAGGACTCCCCATCCTGCTGCACTTTCAATCAAATGAAAGGAACTCCTATATGTTTTTAGGGTACCATTTGGCAAGTGTCAGCAGTGAAAACCTTGGTCCGCAGAACCCAGCTAAAGAAGCTCGTGATCTTCAGAGGATTTGTGCCTAAGAGAATTCGGCAAAAGGTGAGCAAATTCTACACATTTATGACCAACCATTTTTGTTAGTAACAGCCACATTATCTTTTTTTTTTTTTTTTTAAGGAAAGAGTATCTGGTGCCTCGATTAATTATTTCTGAACAGCAGATATTTTATGCTTTATTTCTCAATTTTAACTTTTGCTGTTATTAAAAATACATAGAATTTAAAGTTGACCTTTTAAAAACTGTCTTTTTAAATTGAATTTATTAGGTGACATTGGTTAATAAAATGATATAGGTTTCAGGTGTAGAATTCTATAATACATCATCCGTATATTGTGTGCTCACCACCCTAAGTCAAGTATCCTCCTATCAACACTCAACCTCCCTATGCCCTCTTTTACCTCCCCCCATAAAGTTGATCCAGATGACGTATTATATTTCTGAAGGCTTGCTGTTAAGTTAACCAAAAAGTGAACCAGGTCTCTTTTTCGAAGAAAATTATATTAATATAAATGTGTACCCAGTGATTTGGAGACCAGTATCAATCTGTCTCTGTATTTTGGTTTGAGGCAAACAGGATTTCCTTTTAGATCCATTTTCCACAGTTTCATCAATTTGCTCAGTAAAAATTCCAAATCCTATAATTATAGAAGAAAAAGACAAAATATGTCATAATTATCAATATATTTTCATTCAGTTAATTGTTTATAAAGGTAATTACTGCTTTTTGTGGAGTTCTAGCTCTGTGCCAGCTACATAGAAGGTGTATGATAAATCATTTTTGGATATAATGGTCTATAATAATAATGGAAGGGGTCTAAAGAGAAGGCAGAAAATGAGGTCCTGAGTTGGGGGCCATGGAACTGTTCTTTGTCATAGTCCCTTAAAGGGACTCAGTTCAGAAAAAACTTTTGCCCCTCTGGCCATCCATCCTGCAGAAGATGCTCTATTCTTAGTGGAATTTATGGAAGTGTCCAGATTAAGGCAATTAAGGAGCAGTGAGTAAGCAGTCCATTGGCATTGCAAACAATATTTGCTTTTTATTTTATAAAAGAATACATATTTATTTTAAAAATCTGTAAAAAGGTCAAGGGGAAAATATGAGAAAAAAATCACTTGCATGCTTCCTATCCAAAGATCATTTTCAATATGTTGTCATGTATCCATTCGGCCTTCTTTTTTTGAACATAGGGATTTCTTTTTTTAATTGTCATGTGGGTACAGTTTTGTTTTATGTATATCATAAACATTTGTGTGTTTTTATGGTTACAAGAAAATCATCTAATTGATATTTCAAGGAGTAGTTAAGTTATTCCATGGTCTACAATCCAAATGAATGTCAGAAAAACAGATTAATAGCATTTAAGAACCTGCTCTCTCAGTTTGCCCTCTTTCTCCCAATTTGGGTTTCTTTTTCCATTGTCACAATCCTTTTGTTCAATGCCTTGTTTTTTGTCCCTTTCCTTGCTTTCTCTCCTTCCTCATTTTTAATATGTATATTTTATTTTAGATATTTAGTGGAAGTGAAATATACTTGGACTACTTCTTATATGTGTCATAAAGTTGTTTTTAATTTTTGAAATCAGATAAATTTAGTCTGTATGAATTACTTCAAACAAGCAATGCAGAGACTGTTTTTCTACTCTATAGCCTTGAATTGATTTTAAAAAATTCAATAGCCAAAGGCAAAAAATAAAGGAAAACTACCTTTAATAGGACAAAACATTACTTTAAAGCAAATATTTTGCTGCTAATAAAAATAAATGTTGATAATTCTGTGGAGAGCATAATCCAGGGCTCAGGACTGAAGGATGAAGTTATAACTTTTGAAGAGAGCTTTCTTATAAGTCAACTACATGACAGTGGATCAGAAGCTTCTCTGTTGACCAAAATTAAGAGAATGAAAATTAGCCTGGCTGGAGTGGCTCAGTAGCTGAGCATCAACCTATGAACCAGGAGGTCACAGTTCAATTCCTGGTCAGGACACATACCCGGGTCGTGGGCTTGATCCCCAGTGGGGGGCATGCAAGCAGCAGCCAATTGATAATTCTCTTACCATTGATGTTTCTCTCTCTCTCCCTCTCCCTCCCCCTCCTCTCTACAGCATTGGTTTGACAGTGTTTGATACAGCCATAATTATTTTATGTGAGAGTTTCTCTGTATTTCTCAGTCTAAAAACCTCTAAGGAAGGAATTGTGCATTGCATTTTTTAGTGTTGAATACAATGTCCCATCATCCAAAAGTTCAGTAATAATAACAATAAGAGAACTTTACATCTATATAGATAAAAGAGTCCTGTAGAGTTTTGTTAATTGTCCCTCACTTGATAAATGACCCTCGACATACTCCCTCCAGTGCATGTTTATTTAAGACTAAACTAATCCTGTGCTGAAATATGATTACCCTTTGGATACGCTCTGGTTGTTCATTGCCTTCCTGTCTTTAATAAAATGCTTTCACTTTCCTATTCTTCAATAAGTTACTAAAGGGAGCAGACACTTTTCTGGACAGTCTCTGTTTGATAAATGATCATGTCATGCTATCACTTAGAGGAGTGCTGCAAATCCCGAGGAGCCAGTTCTGTTTCCCATGCAGGGCTGGCGCTGAGCTCCTGTATGGGCGCCGGCAGCACTGGCAGTGCTCCCTCTACAATTAATGATGGCCACGGACGAACCTGTATTTGACCAGCATGCTCCAATTTTTATCGGAAACGTCTGGCCCAACTGTCTTAACTAAATCTAAAGACAGCAATTTGTCATCCCCCTGACTGCCTGTCATCATCTGCTTGGGAAAATCTATAATTTTGGGCTTGTTTCTGACTAAACTGTGGAGTAAATAAATTTATCTTCGGGTTACTCTGCTTGTCAGGATCAATACTGAGCAGAGGTTGAATAAATTAGAAACTGGAAAAACATGACAGGCCATATTGGTTTGTTCATTCGTTGGTGTCTTATAAATCAAATATTTAGTTTATATAAGAGGCAAACACATCAAAAATTTTATTTCCACCATTTACTTGAAGATACTTTACCTCATGATAAATGGTCATTAGGAAACTAATGAAGTAAATCACTAATATATTTGACTGTGAGATGAACTTTTCAGATATTTTATTTATTTAGCAAATTTTGCAGACAAAAACTTTAGGTATAAATTAAATTTTTTTTAATTTTTTCACGTTTTATAAATTTTTGTAACTATAATATTTATTTGACTTAATAGTGTCAGTAAGTTATATAATGTTGGCCCTATTGAAGTTCATGGCTCATCCAACTACTTGGAGATATGCAAAAGTTATATTGTAAATGGTCATTAAAGTATTTAATATTTTAATACATTGATGCTCCTATTTAAGGAGCTATAGAAAAAAATGCAAAGAAATTTTAACCAAAAGTGAATGTCATTTAAACAAGAGCACTGTGAGTGAAAGAAAGGAGTTTCTAAACTATGGAGCATTGTTTGGCCTAACCTCTCTTTCCCCTCCTCCTCAAGGACTGACTTTGCCACCAGTTTTATGGGGAAGAATTGGGTCCTCTGCCTACAGAGTTTTCTCATTTATCCG